TGTCTCTCTCTGTCTCCCTCATTCTGAGCAGTAATTCCGTGGAAAGGAAACTGCTCCACTTTGCTGCAGTCTGTCCGCCTCCCCCTCCCTGTGGTTAGGGTAAGGTGGGCGGTTATCTGCCCTGAGGGAAGGACAGGAAGTAGTCGGACTTGAGGGCTGGCCGCAGCGCGGACCAGTGCACCCCCACCCCGACTTTTAAAGGAGCCTTTGGATTGGCTGCACTCAGTGACCCTCTGTGTCCAGCCCGTGGCCTCTCACCCGCCCCAGCCCCGCCCCTCATTGTTTGAGCTGCTGGTCCCAGCCTGTGGGGTCTTTGTGCAGCCGCCTGGGGCCTCAAGGGAGGGCTGGGGCCTCAAGGGAGGGCAGCGGCTTCCTCATGGCGGGGGGCCCAGGGAAGATGTGGAAAAGTCCTTGGCAGGTCAGGACCGGCTGCGGGCGATTGTCTTCCTGCCTCGGCTTCGTTCTCTTTCCTTTTCTCTCCTCTGCATCCTGCTCCCTGGTCCCCCGTCCTGAGCTTGGGGAGGGCTGGGGGAGGAGGCCCAAAGCCCACAGCTTCTCCTCACTCGGAGGGCAGGACGGAGCAGTGGGCCCCGCGGGGTGGGGACCAGCAGTGCCTCTATGTTGTGGACCTGGAAACAAGGCCAGGACGGGGAGGGGGGACCTCCCCAAGGTCACACAGCTGGCCCGTAGCAGGGGGAGGTTTTCAGCAAAGGCTGTCTCGCCCCAAAGACTGCACTCCTGTCTGATGAGAAAGGTGGGCGAGGGGCTGTGAGGACAGCCAGGCCCAGGGACACTATGGGACAGGTGGGCTCTGGCTCCTCCTGCCGGGCCGCCCTGTCTCATCTCCTCCCTGGTGACCTGGCGGGAATGCCTGTGGGCACTCTCCTGGGGCCTCGGTCTTGTCCCGGATGGAACAGGTGTGGCACTTGCTCGCCCAGGTGAGGGCAGTGAGGGCCAAGCGTCCCTCCTTCCTTCCACGGGAGGCGGACCCAGCGAGCACCTCCAGGGTAGCTGTTCCTGCCTCTGGGGGGCGGTGAGCCGGAATTTGGGGCCCCGGCCCCCCTCCCCATCAATGCCCGCATCCCTCACCAGCTCCGTGGGCCTAATGAGCTCCCTGCCGTGTGATGCTTTCGACATTCACCTTTTTCTCTAATGAGCCTCAGAGGGCGAAGCTGGGCTCCGTCTCATTGGTCACCCCCATCCTCCCGTCAGGAGGCCACGGTGGGGCTATTCCCCATCTGGGTCCAGACTTAGCTCCCTGAGGCCCATGGCACCTGGACCCAGCCCCGGGGAAACCCGCCCCTCCGTCTCGCCCCCGTGAAAAAATCCAGAAACAGCAAAATGAAGACCACACGCCCATCGGCGGGATGCAGCCGCGTGTCCCGTGCCTGTAGAACGGCTCGCAGACGGGCCGACGCTTCACGGCCACCTGCCTCCCAGGTGGAGCCGCCGACCCCACAATGGTTCCGATTTCCACGCAGGCGGCGGGCTCCCGCGACCCCTCATTGTCAGGAAGTAGCCCAAGTGTTGCTTTTGTTCATGAAAAAAGCCGAGTTAGTTTTGCTTTTGTGGCTCACGTGGTTTTGTCTGTCGGTTCAGGGGCTCAGGGAATTCTCAAGTCTGGTCTCTGTTTTGTTTTTTCAAATGTGTTTTTATTGATTTCAGAGAAAGGAAGGGAGAAGGAGAGAGAAACATTAATGAGGGAGAGAGAATCATTGATCGGCTGCCTCCTGCACGCCCCACACTGGGGATCGAGGCCCCCCCAACCCGGGTCAGTGTGCCCTGACCGGGAATCGAACCGTGACCTCCTGGTTCATAGGTCGACGCTCAACCACTGAGCTACACCAGCTGGGCTCTATTTTGTATTTCATGTCAACACCTCCTAGCCGGTCCTGCAAGTGCAGGGATGATACAGAGAAAACTGTGAGCTCCCCATGGACCGGGGTGGGGGGCGGGGGGCAGCTTGAGGACTGACCGCCCCGGGTGGGGGGTTGCTGGGGCCTGGCTTGGAGATAGGTGTCAGCTGTAGAGACTCCAGGGGTTGGAACAGGGACCTTGAAACTCAGCCGGGCTGCCCCAGAGGTCAGGCACCAGCCCGCCCCCCTGGCTTCACCTGCCGCCTTCCCCTGCTCCCAGGTGGGACCCCAGTACAATTCCACGCGGGGATTTTCCAGTTTGGAATTTCCCCGCATCTCC